TCATTATAGAAAGTACCTGCCCATCACCACAAAAGATCAGATGAGTCTGACTTTATTTTTAATGATTATTATCTTGTGAGATGGGAAGTTTCTCTAGATGTATTAGTTCCCATAAATGAAGAGTTTGGCTCATGATAGCAGATACTTGCTTTGGTCCTCCAAGCATAGGCTGTGTTGAGACTGGAAGGAACAAGGATCAGAAACAATCTTCTGTTTATCTCAGGGTAGCTTCAACTATCATAACCAAGGAATGCTGTCTTGCCTCTTGGGTCAATCACCTAGGACATCATTCAAACCACACCTCAATCTTCAGTTTGGTGATAGTCTGTAAAAACTAGTTTGAGAATCCAATTTCTATTAAAAAGTATTAATGTAAATTATAGATTTATAAAATGCAAGCAGTAAGATTTTTGTAGTGGGTTTACTCTACCAAAGTCTACACATGCTCGGAATTTTTAAAAGGTATCATATCCAAAAAATATTCAAAATCTCCCTCTAAATTACAGAAATACTGTTTTAAAAATACAAGTGGTCTATTTACATGTATTTCATTTTTACATCAAGGCCAGCTGAAAGATCCATTAAAGTTGTCATACCTTTCATTTGTAACTAATTCGTAAATACCTCTCTCCCTGTATCTTTAAAAAGAGTAGTATTTTAGTAATAGTAACAGTTCTACTGCCTACTCCTGAGCTCAGAAATTAAAATGATAGAGACATTTGGTCCATTTCCTTGCCCTAAACAGAAAATTTTCCATAAATGGTCATTTATCTTCTCTTAGTATTCTCTAAATGATCCATCTATTCTGCTGATGAAAAGTTCTGGAAATACTCAGGGTTCTGTCATCAGAACACAGTCCAAGGTTTACCTGTCACCTGAATGCAGGCCCCCCTATGCAGGTACATAACAGAATTGTTCCTAAACAATAAAAATAGATTCTAATACCAGAGGCAGGATAACACAGAAGTTCCTAATTTTTGAAACAGACAAACAAATGGGTTCAAACACTGACTCCGCCCTACCACTTAATTACCTATGTGACGTTGAACAGGTTACCGAATTCCTGAGTCTTGAAGTTTAGACTTATGGTGTTTAGAGTTGTTGTGATACTTAAATAGGCTCATGAATATAAAGCATCTAACAAGAACTGTACATGCAGGTGTTCAATGTTTCCTGTGCCCCACTGTAGGTGTTGGTGCAACTTAGTAAGATTTTTAAAAATAAGATTCTGTCAAAATGAATATTCTAAGTGTGTAGATAGATGTATAGATCTAAACTTGAGGTTAATTTGGAAACTGAGGCAATTTTAGTAAAAGCTAGAACAGCTACCCCAATCCACATTTTATGGATAAGGATATAAAATCAAAGAAACAAAATTTCAACTACATCCAAAGTTAGCCCCTTTTATCTTCTGTGACTAATGGCGAGGCAGAAAATGGCAAGTGAAAAATATATCAATGCACCCTCACCAAGGTCACATTAGGAGTCCATTCATCTTGAAAAGAGAGGGAGAGTGGTCCAGAGGGCAAACATTCTCATCTTAGCTGCCATACCAAATTACGGCTACATATGTCTTTAGACATCTTTGAACAACCGTGTATTTACATGATGGTTAACATTAGACTTTTCTGAGATTTCTTGCATATTCTTAACCACACAAACCCGGTCACACGGTCTCTCTGATGATCGCTGAATGTCGAGACCCAACCGTGGAGAAAAACTGTCAATTCAAACTCAGAAAAATAGTCACATTAAATCAATATAAAGTTTCAGTGTGATATAGGAAATGGTTTATGAAACATGCTGCTTTCGAACTCATTGCTAATAGAATAGCACTGGAAATGGGCATACAGAAACACGATTATTGTAAATTATTACAGCTTCAGTCCTAAAAAATAATTTTTCCAGATAATTAACATAAGGTAGAATTTTAGATATGTTAGTAATTCTCCATTGGTGATTATTTATTCTAAAGTGTTTAGATTATACATTATCTGTTTAACTGTTGAAGAAATTACAGCATAAGAGCTGCTTTTTTTTTTGAGACGGAGTCTCACTCTTGTCACCCAGGCTAGAGTGCAGTGGCGTGATCTCAGCTCACTGAAACCTCCGCCTCCTGGGTTCAAGCTATTCTCCTGCCTCAGCCTTCTGAGTAGACAGGATTCCAGGCACCTGCCACCACACCCAGCTAATTTCTGTACTTTTTAGTAGAGATGTGGTTTCGCCATGTTGGTCAGGCTGGTCTTGAACTCCTGACCGCAGGTAATCCACCCACCTTGGCCTCCCAAAGTGCTGGGATTACAGGTGTGAGCCACTATGTCTGGCCAAGAGGTGCATTTTTAAAATTAACTGTTTTCCTCAAAGAGGGGCATTGATTACATCCCTGTAATAATCTAAAAAATACATTTGTATTTACCTGACATTAATAAAGAAACAGCAACAGAGATTGATCCCTATTCTTCCTTTAATACAAGTAGTAGCTAGTGCTCCATTTAATGACAGAAAGCGTTATCCTCTAGGCAAGACTATGGGAGAGTGAAGAAAGTGTTTCCCAGATGCTTACCTGAGACAGTCAGACAAACAGCCCCTCAGTGACTCAGGGAAAGAGGTTCTGGAGAGAGCTTACCCGGATGGAACTTGAGGCACCTGCACCTTCTCTAAAGACCACTGCTGAGCTTTGAAGACACAGGAAGCCCCCCAGGCCCTGGGAGACCAGCACCGCTGCTCAACACGCCTCCTTTTCCTTCCCAGCATTACCAGCAAAGGCTGAAGTCCAACTCAGAAAATTCCTCTTGGTGAGGCAGTGATCCGATTCCAAACCACCAACGTTTAGTTATGACCAGGGGGCTTAATTCTTCAAGGAAGTGCATCATAAAAGTCACCCCAAAGAAACCTCCAATTGGTGACATAAAAACGTGTGTGTGCGCTCACACTCATGTATGTGCGTGTGTGCCTACGGTACACAAGTGACTAGGGGATCTTACCCTCCTTTCCACTTTTCCCACCTCTCCACACAGAAGTAAGATTAGCCACATATGCCTGCTCTTGTTTTCTCTGAAATAATTCTGTAATTTCAGAAATATTTTTAAAATGTCTGGTCCTGGCTCTACCCACTTCTAAGCCAACCTTTACTGGCATCTTTGGATCTTCCATTTCAGAAGAGAAAGCCAGAGGACAGAGAATAACCTACTCTCAAAATAGGTGAAACAAGGCCTCATTGGAGAATTGAAGGCCTGTTGAGTAATAGCTTATAAATCCCCCCTGATCAAAAAGTCAGCCATGTATAATGTTAAAATTATAACTCCAGCCTTAAGGCACCGTATTCTGTGCTTGAAACAGAAGTGATTTTAACCAATCTTCTGAACTTCAGAAGGACAGACTGGTTAGTAACTCAATGGTTTGCTTAAATTTCAGGTAAGAAAAGGTATTGGACTACATCCCATTTCTACCCCTCTCAACATCTGAGCCAAAAGTCCTACGTTATGGTACCAACAGGAAATTCCAGGAATTGTTTAAAGGATTTTTAAATGACTACAGCCCAGAGGCCTTTGGACCTTTTTTGATAAGTTTAACCAAGAATTTGTACAGTGATCTTCACTAGGACTAGAAGTGGCAAAAACAAAACAAAAAACAAAACAAAACAAAACCAGGGTCAAGAGGATCTTTGAAACCAGTTTTGTTTTTTTTTTCTGGCCTGTAATGGAATTTTATCTGAAAACACGGCACTTAAAATATTGCAAATATTGCTAAGTGTATGTGAGACACCAGTTCAGAGAATAGTTACGGTAGTTTATAGTTTAAAGGAACAGTTGCTGTAATATGCTTGCTACTTTGATGGTTTATAACTATTTTAATCTACAAAGTGGAATGTAATGGTCAAAGTATGATACATTTTTAACAGGTGTTAGCAGAAGCATAGTTATTATAGAGGCTTTTTAAATTAATCAAATCGGATAGCATAAACTAGCTCTTAGATAAAATACATGGTAACCCTGATACCTATCCCAAGAAAGAAAAGAGGCACACGACAAGTGCAATAGTTTAAATATACTGAAGTAGTTTGGTATACCAGTTTAAATATTTTGATGAGTCAACTTCAAACTGGCTAAAATAATTTAGGTGTTGACTCATTTCACTAGGAAGTCTAGAGGAGGAGAGATCTAAGACTTGGAGGGTGTGGTGGGTCATGTTTTAATTCCCAGCTCCCATAACACCATCCAATGTCAGCGTCATCCTAAAGCTAGCTCTAGTCAAGATTGCCTGATACAAGATCAGAAAACCAAACGCCGCATGTTCTCACTCTTCAGTGGAAGTTGAACAATGAGAACACATGGACACAGGGAGGGGAACATCACACACCTGGGCCTGTCGGGGGGTAGGGGGCTGGGGGAGGGATAACGTTAGTGACGGGTTGATGGGTGCAGCAAACCACCCAGGACGCGTGTATACCTATGTAACAAAACTGCACGTTCTGCGCATGTAACCCAGAACTTAAAGTATATGAAAAATAAATCAATACATAAATAAATAAAGATTGCATGATAGTTGTCAGTAGCAAAAGAATCCAAATGCTTTCTCTTCCGTATCGGGGAGAGTGTATGTTTCTGTCCTGGCATTCCAACTTGGAACGCTGAGCATGGCCCTGACTGGAGCGGCTTACATCCTGTGTCCCTTGCTCATGTTGTGGCCAGGGAGATGCTTTGTGCAGATCGGCTTTTCCAATTATGATGCGTTTCCAGTGCTGGGGATGAAATCATTTCCTGAGAAGGACAAGGATCATGTGGAGGAGACACTAGTAGTAAAACTGGAGAACGAGGAAGACTGAATGTTGGATGTTCACTATATGGACAACTAGTCTGAAAGACACTAGCAAGCCCATGGCTGTATTTATTGAAAACTGCTGTTAGTATAATACTAATGAGAAACTAATATATAAATATACTAACACAATACTAATAAGAAAATAATTCCCAGATTACAAACGAACAACAACAACAAAATTTCAAGGCCAGTATGTTTCCTTTTTTATTATTATTTTTGTGTTTGACTTAGATGGTTGAATGTTTTCATTTTCATTTATAAGCATTACATTAATTTCCATGCAAAAACCCAAGATCGCATATGTCTGATTTCAATTGGCTGAAATCCAACCCATGAGTTTGGGCATTCAAGACCAAAATGAGCACGTTGCTTGACCTTTCCATGAGTAGACATCATGGGTGTCCTTTGAAAGATCAGCAGGCCTCCTGACCTCTTAAACACCAGTTTGCCATGAGTCCATATGAAAACAGGGAGCCAATGCCTTACAGCACCGAAATCAGGCAAGTAACTTCATTCATGAAGACAGGACACCTCTAGACCAAGGATTGCACCCACAGATATTTCCTGGTTCCTGCTCTATAGCGATACCTGCTTTTGAACAAACGTGGTACCTTCTATTTCGGGATTATAAGTTCTTCCCGCCAGTTTTCCTCAAAACTCTCAGGAAGAGTTAGAGACTTTACAAAAAAAGCTTACCTCGACGACCCCAAAAGGAATAAATACAAAGACACCTACTTTACCCAGTATGTATCTTCCCCAGCTTTAGATGGAGTCAACAAGTATAAAGCTTTAAAAACTTCTCTCAGTAAGACAGGAATCAGGAATATCAAAGAGGGTAAAACAGGACCCCACTATTGAAGGAGAACGAGGCAAATGCAAAGAAGCATTCCACTGATCGAGGGAAATGGGCAAAATGAAAAAATGATAGAATTTCAAGAGTGGTTGTTAATTTATACTGAAACACACTTTGCAGTTCTGACAATGGCAAAGATTAGTGCAAATAATAATTATAATGGTATGTTCTTTAACAGGATTTAAATAAGGCTTCAAATAATTACATATGCTAAAACTAACATTTGGAAACCATAATTCTGTTTGGAAAACTCAAACACACCCTTCCAACCACCCAGTGTTCTCTGATTTGAGGACAATTACATTCAATGAAGTTGCTCCAAAACACAATTTGTAGTATTATCACTTTCAAAGTTTACATTGTTTGGTGGAAAAGGGGGAAGCTACTCTGGTCACTGGTCAAAATAAATAAATCCAGCTAACACGCCAGGTACTTCCCACGTTCATATGATTCTCAAATATCAGTAGTGGTGAAAGCTCGCAAGAAAAAAAGACAAAAGCAAAATAATAAAAATAATACAATAGAATCGTTAAGCGTCAGAGATTTGTTTCCTCATACCCATGAACAAATCTGCACCAAGCATGAAACAGAAAACAGCAAGAGGACTCATGGGCATTTTCATCTATGGCTCAAGATCTCCTTAAAAAGAAAAAAAACTCCAACAAACTAAAGAGCATGACAATAACTACAAAAAGTAAACAATGAAATCAGAAGCAGAATATGAAATAGTAATATACTGTTTCAGAGCCTGCACCATCCTGCAGAACCAGGAAACTTAAAATTTGTTCTTAACAAATCCAATCTAGGCTGGATATGTAAAAAACAGAAAGATAGCATCATAAACCAACACGACACATTATCAGAGTTTAAGAACCAGGAAAAAAAAAAAAAGTCAGCTAACACTCAGAAAAATTTGTCATCAATTCTGAAATGGGGCCTTGTGACATCGTCAGGATTGATAAAGACAGAGATGGACTTTCCCGGGTTCTCAGTCACTAGCTGCTGCAGTTTTTTTGCCAAACGGTCATCAGGCTGGTTGGGGTCCCCTCCGTCGGACTGTGGGGAGGGGATGCTGGTGGTGCTACCTCGCCTCTGGAGCTCCAGTGTCAGCCGGTTGGCTGCCTTGACATGCTCAATGGCAGTGCGCAAGTGCTCTGCCGGGTCTGAGCGCACAGAGGACAGCTTCCGGGCGTGAAGCATGACTGTCTCCTCAGACAGGTGTTCCAGCATGTTGCACTGAGGGATGAAATAATTGGGGCACATCTTGTTGACCAGACAGTGTTGCAGGTCATCGATGAGGCCCAGCAAAAAGTGGGCTGCATAGTCTTCTTGCGCCAAGTAGTTGGCAGGAAGTCTGTCGCAGGCCCAGAGCATCATGCTCCGCAGGTGATAGGGGCTAATAGCCTTGGGCCGGGACAGCAGTTTAATGATGATGGCTTTGCAGGCCTGATAGGCCTGCATGAGGCTGCTGGAGATGCACTTCTTCAACTGCACCTCGCTCCTGGCAAAGGACAGCCGCCATTCATTGTCCTTCTTACCCTTGTAGGAGCAAGCAGGCACCAAGTAAAACCCACTGATGACCTCTTCCTCAGTAATCTTCCCATCCCAAAAGTGGTTCTCCATGAGCCAGCTCTGGGCCACCGCAGGCCAACCTTTGAAAGATACCACAGGGACAATATCGTACAACATGCGGCTACTCCCTACACCCAGAATGATGGAGATGATGGTCCCATTTTTTTCTACCTTCTCCACCTTTGGCATCCCTCGCTGGGGTTTCTTCTGTATTTCTGATAGGACAATGCTGATAGAATCATAGAACCAGTCAGCCACTTTGGTAGGTGAGAAGAAGTAGTTGGTGGCACCATTGATGTGATCTACAATGGTGCAGCAGTCTTTCCATTTACTGATTGTCCCCTCATCAAAGAGCCGAAGGCTCAGCCAAGAGTGGCACAAGGCTGAGTGGCGCATGTCGAGTGTCACAGGCTGATTACGGTCATGCAGCTTGAGGGCTGGCACCAAGAGGGTAAAGTCCATATCATAGTCAGTCCCCCGGGCATAGACATTAAGCTCGTCTAAGTCCAGGTCCACCACGCCTTCCCGGACACCTCCAGAGAGCAACAGGTACTCATTAGCCACTGGAAGCTTTTGGTCCAGCTTTTGCACCATTCCTAGAAATAAAAAAGGAAAAAAAAAACAACATTATTATAGGAAGCACAGACATAAAGAGTCTTATGCATGAATACAGAATGTTCTGAGGTTCCAAGAACCAAAATTCATTATCAGTACAAAATCAGATCTCAGGCTGCTGCACAGATCTGGTCAACAGTACTTTTACACTAGTGCTAGAATCCACCCTTTTCCAAATGGAAGAATTATGATAGATTTTTCTCTCTTAGTGAAAAGCAGTATCATTTTCAATAATAAACCAGGGCCCTTCTTCCCCCAGTCATCATCTCAGTTAACGGAATTGCCATCCACTCAGTCGTGCAGACTGAAAACCTCAGTACATTTCAACTCTTTGCTGCCCTTCTACTGCCAGATCTTTTCCATGAAACCTCTGCCAGGGTTCTCACCTCCTTCCCTGTTCTCCATCTCTCCTGCCATGATAGGAGGTTCGGCCTTTTTTATCTCTTGCCAAAGCAGTTTTCCTTCCCCAGGCTCTTCGCACTTCACTTTTCGTTGTACCAGTGGTTCTCAGTGTGGGCTGGAGACATTTTTAGGGGTAATGAGTTCATAACTCTCTTTATAATAATACTAACACATTGTTCGACTTTTTTTTTAAGAGACAGGGTCTTGCTATGTTGCCCAGGCTGGTCTCAAATTCCTAGTCTCAAGCAATTCTCCTACCTCGTCTTCCCCAAGTGCTGGGATTACAGGCATGAGCCACCATGCCCAGTCTTGTTGTTTGACTTTTTTACTGTGTTGCCATTGTACTAATGGCACAAAAACAACGGAGGATAAAACTCCCAGTGCTTTAGCAGCAGCCAAGACACTGATGCCAAACTGTACTAGCAGTCAGTAGATTCTTTACCACTGACATGCATTAGCAATTTTTTTAAAAACCCAGTTTTACTTAAGAAAATCCTTGATGAAGAAAAATAAGTTATTTTATTGAATCTCAACCTTTGAGCCATTAGAAAGATTATTTTCCTAATGGTCTGTGTGAGGAAATGAAAGTAACCATAAAACCTCTCTTCCTTATACTGAAATGGGAAATCTGTTTTCAGGAAAAGCACTCACGTAACTGAGTTGTGAGCTGAACTAGCTTCTTTGTTCAAGGAACACCATTTTTACTTTAAAGAACAATGGAAAACTATGGGCTATTTAGATTTGGGTATTTGGCAGACATTTGCTTCAAAAATGAACAAAATGAGCCTGGCTTCAAGGAAACTACTGACAATATTTATTGCCAATGATAAAACTGAAACTTCTAAGAGAAAATTAAATTTAGAAAACTCCGCACCATGAGCGTGACATCTTCCCGAATTGTATACGTTTCTGATTAAACTGGCGGTGATATTAACGAATGTGATTTCTGATGAGATTGTGAGTCCTTTTGAGAACCACATCTCATGTATTAAGCAGGCATAGAAGACTCCGCGCATGCAGTAGGAACATAATTGAAGCTATGACTAAATGATAAGGGAACGAATGCATGAAATTAATAGGTGGATAGCATTAATAGATAGAATTAACATAAATACTTAAAGGCTAGACTTAAATGACTGTTCCATAAACAACATATACGTTTTCCCTCCTTCATTATATATGTGCTTATGCTTGATTATCTGACACACTACCAGCATCATCCTGTGATTTATTTAACAGCGTTTCCCCAAAGATCATAAAGACCTACCACAAATGATTATAATATTCCATTATTCATTGTAATTCATAGTTTACTCTTCATAGGAGAATCCCAAATCAAATAAACCATATGCACGTGTTTTGTTACTATTATCGTTATACTCTGAATGTTTGTGCCCCCTACTCACATGTTGAAATCCCAACTTTCAATGTGATAGTATTAGGAGCTGGGGCCTCTAATAGGTGGTAGGTGATTAGGCGTGAGAGTGGAGCCCTCATGAGTGGGATTGGTAGCCTTATAAAAGAAACCTCAGAGCGCTTCCTCACCCCTTCTGCCATGTGAGGACACAGCGAGAAGACAGCCCTCTATGAACCAGGAAATGAGAAGACAGCCCTCTATGAACCAGGAAATGAGAAGACAGCCCTCTATGAACCAGGAAGCCGTCCCTCACCGGACAATGAATCTGCAGGCACCTTGATCTTGGCTTTCTTGACCTCCAGAATGGCGAGAAAGAAATCCCTGTTGTTTATAAGCTACTCAGTCTAAGTCCTTTGATATAACAGCCTGAATGAACTAAGACAATTATACTTTAAAATTTAACCCTCATTTATTAAATTGTGCTCTTTTTCACTCTTTAAAATCCTATTTTCCAAACCACATGAACCATGAAAAAGTCTTTTATTTAGTACCATTTCCTTACACACAGAAATATGGCACGTTATCATTTTCTTTTTAAAACCGTAAGTTAGCCAACATTATAGTGTCAACAATTCACCAGAAAGAACATCCAGCAAACCTGACTTCTTGGCTGTTTCTCACACTATCTGCACTGTGATATGGCATCCAGGTCCCTCTTCAATAAAGGACTTATCCCAGCTGCTTAAATGCTATCCCTTAAGGATTGTCTCAGCTGCAGAAGGCCGTCTTCACCAGGTCAGGTCCTGTGGCTGGGATGGGGGTTGCAGGTGCACATCCAGTAAATGATTGGTGTGGGAGTGTTCCAGCTCAGGATACTCTGAAGGGCTATTCAAACTGAGTTCCCAGTGGGGTTGGCTGTGGCGAATGATGCGCCTGCAGGGAAGCTCAGCTTCTCCTACTTGAACCTGCTTCCTTCCCCACTTCGACAGGTGTAGATCCCAAGGGTGCTGCCTCATAAACATCCTAACTCCATTTCAGAGGCTGCTTCCTGAGAAACCCAGCATACTAAATACTATCTAAGCAAAACAGAAGATACTACCTACTACCCAAGCAAAAACTGTCTTCAGCATGGAAAATATGTTTTCTTTTTAAGCCAAAATTAATCTGGATTGAGAGTTCTTATAAATGCCAAGACAAAGATCCGTTTCTCAAATGTCATTATCTTTTAATATTAACCTCATCTTTGCCAGGTAAAGAAATACTACCACCCTACGTTTTGGTTACTGCTTTAAAGGATAAAATTGATTTCTCAGATTCAGGTCAGGTTGTGAAAATCATTTTCATTATTTTATGAACTCACATGTCAGAACAGTCAGTTTCAGTGAGATATATTTGATAATGAAACAGTGTACTCTTCATTATTTCAAACATTCTTTCATTCTAGCATTCAGAATACCATAAATATACATGAGAAACACTGTGAAATGCTGTGTTGTGGTTAGTAAATAAGATCTGAATCTATTAAAGCTATATTGTTATTTGAGTACCACACTGTTGCCTCCTCTTAGGCACAACTAACTCAAAATCCTATGTATCCTTTTGTCCTGGACAGACGAAAACTGGTTTTGAGCCCACCAGCTAAGACTTGTCTATCTAAACAGGGTAACTTGTGCATTAACAACCTAGAGATAATCTGTCTACAAAAGTGCCACTGAATTTTGCCTGGGATTGTCACAATTCTGTTTGGAGAGTCTTGGGTAAGCCATAGCTAAAACTCCCTTCTGCCCTCTGCTGGATATAAGAAGTTTTAATGTGTTTTCACTTGTCAATATATACACTAGAAAATTCCTGCCAATGATAAAATATTCTCTTTCCTCCCAACTGATGCTTATGCATCTCGTTAAAATGTTGATCCTTTATTCAAAGGAGTCAACATCAAGTATTTGGCTAAATTCTAATTTTCAGGAGGTAGGGTAATTTTGAACACTTCTTATTCCTTTTAAAGTGAAGAAAGCCCTTTAGCAGCAGAAAGAATACTGCAGACACACATTTACTAAGCCCCTAGAAGTTAGAAACAAAGTCCCTAAGGCCACACTGTTCCAGAAGCTAATCCCTTCTTACATCCACATTTCCATTTAGCCTCCCTGAGCGCATTAGTCTGCAATTTTACAAACGATACGGTAACACAACTGGAGCCTTCCCCAGCGTTATACAAGCCCAAATGTCTTCCTTGAAAACTTTCCTGGGCTAAGTTTAAGTGAAAATGAGCTGACATCAGCTATCATGGCAGATGGGTTGCCATGCAACCAAAACACAGGGCTGGAAGGGAAAAAGACAGAGGAGGGAAGCATTTCAACTGTACGCTTTGGCTGTACGGATCAGTTCCAACAAGTGCCATCTCTGCAATGATCCAAGGTTTTTTGTGTAATTATGGGAGGATAAGATCGAGTGACCCTGGCTGTTTAGCTGTGAGATTATCCAAAGGCAGGCGTGGGAACAAAAGGAAGATGCACATACACCACTGAGCTTGTTAGCAGCAAAACAAAACAAAAGAAGGATAGAGGATAGCTAGTCCCTTGGGTGGGTCTCTTCTTTTCATGGAGGCACTGGCATATGCCTGCTCTTAAGTAAAACTGCCACTCAACCTCCTTTC